ATCTCTCTATCTATATGTCTATCTATCTACCTGTGTATCTATCTATCTGTCCATCTATCTATCTATCTATACTTCTTTCTCTCTATCTGTCTATCTATCTGTCTATCTATATATATGAATGAGAATGAATATCTTTTCTTGCATTATGAAGATATTCATTCTCATTCATACCTTTTATACAAATTATGTAAGAACAGTAACGTTGGTTATTATCACAGTAAATATTATAAGATTAATTACAGTAATGATCATTGTTGATGTTACAGTAGTGCTGAATTTAAGAATCATTACAATTATCAGTAATAACGATAAAAATAGATGTAAGGAAACTGAGAATAGCCAGTCTTCAATTAGCATTGTGATTATAAAGATGATAATAACGGTTCAGCAATAGCAGCGCGCATTATGACTCTTGGTATTATTGTTGATATGATAAGTACCAATGTACATCAGAGGGTTATTGTTAGGAGATAATGAGAAAAATAACATATTACCTTCAAAATCGCTATATATAATTTAAGTTTACACAAAGTCCTAATCATTATGCTAATCACTCATTACCATCCGTTATTGTTCATATTATCATCCTTATTGCACTTCGTTGCAGAGGTTGCATGCAAAATCAATCAACATCATTATCAACGGGTTCCTGTCATATGGAATACTCACCTCGACCTGTCATTGCGCTCTGCGGACTCCGATCACTCGTTTGTTTGGGTGTTTGGCGACACTCTTTTGTTTCAGAACCATCGAAGCTGTGCGAATTCAGGAAATAAACGGACTGATAATTCAGAGATACGCGGAATAAAAGATGAAAGACAAAACGAAAGAAGAAGAAAAAAAATGTAGTGATTGTCCCTCTCTCTCCTTTTTTTTCTCTGTCTCTCGTCCAGCCACGTCTTAACACGGTGATCCTTCCGTCAAAAATAAGATCAGTGCCTTCCTTCCTGACCCTTATATACCTTCCTGTTCCTTGATGTGATACTTTTCTTCTCCGTGACTCCGTGTGGCACTCCCCCACCCCCCACCCCCTCGTGGCCCCAACTCCCTCCTCCGCATCTCCCTCCCCCTCCCCCCCGCCTCTCCCTCTCCCGTTCGGCCCCACACGCTGTGTTCTCACACTAAATCCAATGTCTTTTTCTGCCCGTTTGACAAATCCAAATATTGGATTTCGGTGACTGAAAATGAAGAGTAAATACGGATCAACACTCGATATCCGGAGTGTATTAAGAACCGGATCTTTTACGTCGTATATTACGGAGTTTATTATTTATTTCATACATATCCTCGCTATGCCATAGAAAAATAAATATCTTGGAATAAACACTACGATTGTAAATGCTTCCATGAGTGACTCCTGAGCGAATCAAAATGAAACAGTCCCCCCTGCCAGCATCCGGGTAATTGGCCGGTGCCCACTTTTCCGCGCCAACAAGTTCTCGGCCATCTTGGATTTTCGGCTTTTCTGCCTCGAGAGCAACTGGTGAAAACTTTCATTTGTATTTCAACGTGCTTTGTTCTCTCGCGTTACGCTCTCGATTTATTCATCTGTATCAGAAGTTCGTCTTTCTATGCGTTGAATGAAATCGAAATGTAGTTTGGGTCATTGGATATTTTAAGTATAAAATCAATAAGATGTGACGGTCGTCCTTCAGAGAAAAAATGCTGATGAAGGAAAAATTCTGATCATAATCCACCAATGAAGTAAATCTTTCACATTAGCCTTACAAAGTTGGTCAGGCACAATAATCGCTTTACGGCACGTGTTCGGACAGTCAATCCTACCAGTATATCAATCTTTCCCCGATATCATTTCCTTCGTCATAGAACTACGCACTACATCTTACAAACTAAAGACCATCAGAAGATAAACTCTGATAAACACCACTATCACAATTTCTAAAATCTCTCTAATTAATAAAAAGAAATAACAACAATATATATTTTTCCTCGGGATTGCGTACACACATTCGTACTCAGGAAGGCCGATTATGGCGCCAAAAAACGCGCTTCTTGGCGGGAAAGTGGACATCCGGCGAGATTTTTGGCGGGAACTCGAGCATACGCCGATGGCAAACAACCGCCATTGATGAAATTATCGGCAAACACGACTTGAATATTTGAGTTGTTGTGAAGGAAAAGTTTGGAAGCGCGCAAACCCTCACCGATGCCGCCACCCACTGCGCTTTTTTTTCCTTTTTTTCTTTCTTTTTAGGAGTGGGGGGGTGGGGGGATGGTAAGCGCTTGCCGTGTTTTTTTTCTTTCTTTTTCTTTCCGTTTCTTCTTCTTCTTCTGCGGTGAGTACTGGTAGGCAGGGAGGAAAGGAAAAACAGATAGGGGAAAAGATATGAGGAAGAGAGAAAGAAAAAGAGAAAGAAGAAAAGAGAGAGAAAAAGAGAAAGAGAGTGAAAGAGAGAGAGAGATTTAAAGAGAGAAAGAGTGGAAGTGAGAGAGAGAGTGAAAGAGAGAGAAAGTGAAAGAGAGATAGAGTGAAAGATAG